GAGGCTCCTTGAAAAGTTGCCGGTGCGGAGGACGGTTTGTAGGAGGGCCAGGAGGGTCCCGTCGTCAGCACCGTCGACTTTGTCGGCCTCCGTCCTCCAGCGCTCCAGGAAGTCCCGAAGGGTCTCATCCCTCTTCTGGCGTATGGTTAGGAGGTGGGAGAAGTGCTTCCTTGTGCGACGCCTCCCGGCAAATTGTGTCAAGAATCGCTGGGCGAGTTCTTGCCACGAATCAATGCAGCCCTCGGGCAACCGGTAGAACCATTCGTATGCCGGCCCCTCTAAGGTGGAGAGGAACCAACGACACAAATATTCGTCCGACGCCCCTACCATCATCATGCTGTTTTGATATTTGCTGTAGTGTTCCTGGGGGTCCGTCTTCCCGTTATAGGGCTGTATGTGTTGCCCTCGGTATTTTTCCGGGATCCGGGCCGCCAGTACCCTTGGGGTAAATGGCGTCCGGGTCCGGAGCTGGATGACGGGTTCCCCGGAGCCCTCGGCCACCTTCTTCTGTAATTCCTCCATTTTGGCCATCATGGCCTCGTATTTGAGATCTGAATGAGGGATGGAGGTGGTGGCGTGAGCTTTGTTGGCCTCCATTTCATCAAGCCGGTGTTGGAGGGCCGCAATAATTTCGTCTCGGGGATCCTTCGGGAGGGTCTCCTCCCCCTGCGAACGAACCCGGGCCGAGTGGGCCTGGTTGATCTGGTGGCGAGCATCATTGGCATGAAGGGGTGCCTTGCCTTTGTCCCGAGGGGGACGCTCCTCGTCTGCCCTCGAGATAGACCCTCCGCTTTCCTGGGGCCTTTGGAGTGCTTTCCCCCCGAGGCGGTCTTGGACCCCTCGGCGGTCTGGCCCTCCTCCGAGCCGGTTGAGGGCGGAAGTGCGGGGCCTTTCTCTGTTGTCATTGTGGCGGTCCCGGGACTGAACTTCCTGGGAGGACGTATCTTGGGCCACTACCCCTTCTTCGTTCCTAACCCGAGGGGTGGGGTTTCCGAAGCGGTGTGGCAGAGGGGGAAGTATGATGTTCTCCCCAACCTGTGGTTGAGCCGGAGCCAGGGTGCCGAAGGCACCCGGGTTCTGAGTGAGCGTTTGGATGAAGGCGGAGAGCGCCGATTGCACGTCGATGGTGAGAACCGGAGGGCTGACTTGGTCATCGCTCCGGTTTTTCTTCTTGGCCTCGATGCCGAGGCGGGCATCGGGGGCATTCTGTTGGATCTGAAGGCGTAGGTCGACAGCCGCCTGTTCCAGCCCAGCGATGACACCACCCTCGGGGGCGTTGACGTCGCCGAGGGCCAGGTTCTTGTCTTCTACGTTTTTGGAGTTGGCACGTGTTGTTCTCACCATTTTGGTAGAGGGCTAGTGTTTGGCGAAGGGGGAGGGTTTCTTACTCGATTGTTCGACCTCTCAACGAGAGCACCAAATGATGGATAGTCTACCCGGGGGTATATATCCGAAGGGTTATTGCTGGGAATGACTTAGAGAGAGGTCAGAGCAAGTAAATGTAGAGAGAGAGAGTGTATTATAAATGTGGAGCGTTTTCAGCGTGGTTATAAATGGAGAAATTGGGTGCTATTTATAGTAGCAATAAATGCCGGACAGGGACACGTGTCAAGCGCCTATTGGCCGAGAGGTCACCTCAACTGGTTGGCGTTGGCAGCCGCATGTGGACGCATTTAATGCGGCTGTTGGATGGGACGTCTGTACAGGGTACGATGATCTGTACGCATGTGAGGCGGATATCATGTCGGGAGAGGTGCCCTCGGCTGCAGAGGACTAGCCGAGGGCTCTTAGTGCCGAGGGCTCCAGGTGCCGAGGGCTACTGTTTTCGCCGTTTTCTCCCAGTCCCTCTGTTTGTTCGAAATATCCGTTCTGTGAGAGTTTGGAGCCTTCGGCCAGGGGGCCGAAGGCACCCCCGGTGCGTATTGCTGGCTGCTTGGTACTCTGGGCGCCGTGATTTGGGCCTGTTGGACCTTCTGGGCCTGTTGGGCCTCCACTGGAGTAGTGGGAGTCTGTGGGCCGGGGGTTCCCGGGCCATATACTCCATCACTATGCATACAAGCCCCCAAAGTAATTATTCAGAAAATAGCATCCATGAGGATTGTTATAATTGTTTTGAAAACAGGAAACAGAAGAAGCACGAACCACGTCTTCTCCTCTGAATATCCCGAGCAACGGGCACCGGTAGCAACCTTCAACTCTTCAAGTCCTACCTGAAACTGTGAGGTGGCCTCCCCCGTGAAGGGGAGGTCAGTACTTGGAAATATTTGACAAGTACAATAGCAACTATACTAAGTATAATCAACGTTTTAATTCCCAAGACCCTCAAAATAGGGTGATATCATAATACAAATAATACTTTGTATTTCCCACTTATTATCTTTATAATAAGTAAATTTATTTATTTGTCGGCACACGGCCCTTCTTATATGTTCCTTTTCATTTATCATTTGCACAACCCAACCCTTGGGTCTTATTATTTCTACGGGACTTGCTACCGCTGTCCGAGACCTCATGGGGCTCCCGGTTCGGACTCCAACATCCCGCCCCTGGACTCATACCCATCATCCCGTAGGAAGGTAAGGCCCTTCGGGGTCCTATCTTATGTGTTACCGCTACCGGAACCTAGTTAGGTCTCCGATTCGGATTCCACCCTAACCCGTGATCACGATGTAAGTCCATGCTATCCAACCCCGCTCTCTAGAGTCGGGAAGGGCCATGGTCCTTACTATTTCCATAATTCAACCGGCTATCCACAAGGACTACCGAACACACCCGTAGGCCAATCCTATACTTAGGATCAATTTATTATTTACTTTATCTTGGGTATCCCTTAAGGCCTACCCCTAGTATAACTTAAAGTTCATACTTTCCTACCTTAAAGCATCTCTCAAGACTACTTAAGGCATAACATTTCGCAATCCAACCTTAGGATCAATCTTAACAACATTTCATTTTAATGTCCAACTAGTATCTTAATACTAGTCAAATTAATATCAACAAACCAAGTTCTCAACTCATAGTCATATAGACAATTCCAACTGATTTTCCTTTGAAAATATCATTTATCTCAATATCCAAAATATCACTTTTAATCACTCATATATTCTAATATGAAGAAAAAAGTATATTTCAACACATGTTTCATAATAAATTCCACTTTCAAGTCAACATACTCATAACACATGAACATACACAATTTACTCCTAAATTTGTATGTCATGCTCCTTTTTCTCTAGACATTTAGTCTTTTCATTTTTTTAGGCATTATTAATCATTAATAATCCATAAAAACACATTTAATTACCTTCGGTAATCTCATGAAATTAACACACTAATTATAAGCAATATAGTCAGCCATCCTCACCTCGAATTTGCTTTAAGAAGCTCTACCCTTCTAGGTTGAACTCCGGCAATACTCCGGTGAACTCCGGCGAAACTCCGACGAGACTCCGGCGAAACTTAGGAACACTTTAGTCAAGCTCCTAACAAGGTTTTATCATCACAAAATCCATATCAACACAAATAACCCTTAAAAGGTTATTTTCCGGCGAACCGGTCATTTGGCTTCTAAGTCCGTTCTTGGACTTAGAACTACCTTCCAACCCCTTGTTCTACACTTCTAAACATGAAGAACAATCCTAGGGGTCCTCAATATGATATATAGGTCTTAGGGTAGCTAATAAGTAGAGAAAAAGTTAGCATGAGGTCATTACCTTGATTCTTCACACTTTTTCTATCTTTCTTCTTCTCCGAACCTCTCCCTTTTTCTTGTTTGAGCTTGAGCTCAAGTTGGCTATGGAAGGTGAGGTTTTCAGAGCTCCTTGGCCTTCTTTTCTTGGTGCTGGACGAGTACAATGAGTGGGAGAGGAGGGAGGATGGTACTTTTGTCCTTGGTTGACAATTGGGTGAGGTTAGGGGTCCCTTAGGTGTCAAGATGGTCTCCACCATCCCTTCAATGGATTTCAGCCACCATTTAGCTCATGCCAGCCCCCAAGGTCTGGGAAATTTCGTGGGTTGGCCCCCACTTGTGTGGGAGGTCACCCCTTTTTGTCCAGAAGTGCACAATCGGTCCCGAAAGTTGCATTTTTCGGCCCGTTTTAATCATATTTTATTTTATCGGACCAAATAAAATATATTACGCGTTCCAAATAATTATGGGCCTTTAGAATAGATGTATATTCCCCAACATTAATTTAGGAGTCTCCGAAACTCACTTCGGACTGTTATCCGTCAAATTGCCGATACCGGTAATTGGGCCCCGTTTGACCAACCGGTCAACTCCATGCCTTCCTTATGGCCCAAATAAAATATCCACCACCATATACATATTATCTAGACCAAGATGAATATAATATGTGGTTCGGGAATCATCGGGCGGTCCCCGTTCCCGCTGTGGGCCCCACATGCAATTTGCTATTCACGTAAAAGAAATAATGAAATTTAACAATTACGTAAATTCATAAATCATCCTTCAAGGTTTATTACATAATTTACTAAAAGTAAATATGCTCGGGGTCGGTGTTACAATGCACCTGTTTTTTCCTTAAAGACTTCCGTTGTACTCTAAATATGTGTAATAATAAAGATGGTTTCATTTAAAAATGTGATTTTATTTGGGTAAGAAAAATGGGGGTGTTACAACCACCCCTCTCTTCCTATTCTAAAAAATTCTTGGCTTAACAAACCAATACACAAAACCCTCCTAGTTGCATGTGTACACAGACAGTTCATTTAGAAAAGGGCAGAATTTGATACCCAATTGCATGTGTACACAGGCAATGTACACATTTTGTGTACATCTTGTGTACACCAAGCATGACCCCTTTTCAATGGAAAATACTTAGTATACATAAGTTGTACACAAACTGTACACAAAACCCTCTTAGTTGCCTGTGTACACAAAACCCTCCTAGTTGATCATGGTGGATTTGACTGGTACTGTGACAGTTTTCGGCAACTTCAATCTGGGTTTTCTTGGAAATTCACCAAGTTTGAAAATTCTAGAAAATTGACTTTATCTATGGGGAGTAATAGATATGGGGATTTTATATGTTTAGGAACATATGAAAAAGGTGTTGATACCATTATCTTTGTGCCTGAAGGACGGAAAGGAAAAGGATTTCAATTGTTCGTATTGAAGGAGGCTAAAAATGAGGTTTTGCAAAATTGTTCAGAAGCCTTTGGGATTATTTGCTCATGTCATGCATCTGAGAAATATGCTTCTGAGAGCATTGAGTCTATTTTTTCCTCTCTGTTTCATGCCGATCTACTTGATTATGGTTATTCCTCTTCTTCATATGAATCACAGATCGTTCTTCGGGATATTGAAGCAAGCGTGGCAGGGAAGGTTGTAGGTGTAATATCAGGAGAAATTTTAGATGTTATGCCTCTCAACGTGGCTTTGCTTGCTGATAGCCAGAATGCTGAGGTCATTTCTGAATCTTCAAAGGAGGAGGCATCTCACAACGTCGATCAACGAGAACAAAGTAATAGTTTTGCAAATTCTTATGATGTTTTCTATAGACCTCCTGTTGCAAACTCAAAAGAAGAGTATCGGGCTCTACTTGCAGATCTTAAAGCAGGACTTTTAGAAATTCAAAAAGACATTGATCAAAAGCTGAAAAAGAAATCTATGGAAAAGCTAAGCATCTCAAATGACATAAACGCTAAAGCTGCTCCTACCCCTTTAGAGGACGATGATTTCAGTGTAGTCACTTCCAAAAAATCCAAAAGATACACTCAGGCAACAATGATATTCAAACGCGTCACAAAACCAAGTTTGCTGGACAAAAACTTTCATCATTATTCTCTAATTGTTCACTTCTTTATTTATTGTACTTCCATTGCATTTCATTTCATGGGCTCTCTTTTCGTTTTAATAAATTTAGGTAAATGACTCAAAAAAAGACGAAGGGAGTATTGCGTATATTAATAAACATTGATTTTTTGCACTATTCACATATTTTACTTTGATTCTATTTTATTTATTAATATATTATAAATTATATTTAAAAAATTGTTAAATTCCTCTTATTTTAAATTTCCAAAATCTATTTTTTTAATTCTCTTACTAATAAAGAATAAAAGATACTACCTTCATCCCTTAAAGTTTGTCCTAGTTTGACTTTTTCAGTCAAACTTATTAAACTTTGACCGCTAATTACTCAAAATTAATAATATTTTATCCCTAAAAATTAATTTATATGATTCTTTGAAATATGTATTATTCAAATGTCAATTTATTATAGATTTTATAGGTATATATTAATATATAATTACGGTCAAACGTCTACTTAGTTTCACTCAAAAAGTCAAACTAGGACAAACTTCAAGGGACGGAGGGAGTATTAATAGAGTTATTTCCCAAAATAATGTCTAACAAAAAAATATTTCCCAAATTAATGTTAGGTTAAAACATTTTCCCAAAATACTGTCCAAATAAACTAGAGTTAGGAGAACCGCCACTTGAAGTGGCGGCTTAAGGAAAGAGAAAGCACGTAACGCGCAATGTCAAAGCCAAAAATATAAGGTAATGGGTCCCACCCAAAATAAAATCTCCTATTTTCTTTAAAGTGTCATAACTTTTTTTATTTGTACTTCGATTGTTACAAAAAATATATCATACTCCGTAATTCATAACTTTATACGAAGTATTATCTCACCAATAATGAATATATAAAAATCAAAAAATAATATAACACTTTAAATACTATATGTTTTTTAAGTGTTATATCTTTTTTATTTGTATTCCGATTATTACAAAAACTATATCAAAATTCATAATTGTTTATTACCTTTCATATGACACCAATAATGAATATATATAAAAAAATAATTTAATACTTTAAAAATTATCTGCTTTAAAACGCTATATGTTTTTTTTAATTGTATTCCGATTATTACCAAAAATATATCAAAATTCACATTTTTTTATTATCTTTCATATGAAAGCATGTTTTATATATATAAACAAAAAAAAATCAACACTTCAAAAACATAATATGTATGTTTTTTCAAAATGCTATATTATTTTTATTTGTACTTCAATTTGTACAAAAAATATCAAAATTCATAATTTTTATCACCTTTCATATGACACTAATGTTGCATATAAAAAATAAAAAAATTCCACTAACGTGTGCAATTTATAGTCGTTTTTTATCTTGCACGCTATTAATCTGGAGTGATGACTTAGAATAAAATAGCATACATTATCATACAAAGAATTAAATAAATAAATAAAATTGATGTAGTTTTTGTGATTTTATCTTAGTCTATCGGTCCCGAGTAATTGTGTGTGCGGTAAAAAATGATCTTAAACTACACAAAATATTACATTTTTTGTTTATTTTATATATGAAACATTGTTTTCACATGAAAGATAATAAAAATTATGAATTTTGATATATTTTTTGTAATAAACGGAAAACAAGTAAAAAGATATATATTTTTAAAAATAGATAATTTTTAAAGCGTTAAATTATTTTTTGATTTTTATAGTCATTATTGGTGTCATATGAAAGGTAAGAAAAAAATATGAATTTTGATATATTTTTTGTAACAATCGGAATACAAATAAAAAAGTTATATGACACATTAAAGAAAATCGGAGTACCTCATAAATTTCAGGATCATTATATCAATCAAAGAAAAAACAAAACTGACACAAACTAAAATCCAACAACTACGACTGTAAACCAACAAACTTGGAGACAGTCACCCCTGAAAGAGCAAAGCGAATCGCTAAACATGTAGCGGACTTGACACAACCATCCATGTTCCCATAGATCCAAACATACTCAATGACATAAAAAAGGATGAATTCCCAAACAAACTGACAACCTAACAACATAGACGATAACAAGAAGCCAAATGACAGCCACTTGGTTCTTTTAACTGAGGTTTAATTTGGCAGTATTTTGAGAAATACTCTTAACCTAACATTAATTTGGTAATTATTTTTTGGTTTGAGAGGTCTCGAGTTCGAAACCCGCTAGACACATAAGGATTTGAAACTAAATGGAGTGAGTTTCAGCCCTGATTACTCCAGCCCCCAACCCCCAACCCCCCACACACCGTGGCAGTAAAAGGAAAAAGAAAAAAAAGCTTAAAAATCTACTACTCACTCCGTCCCGCTAGAAGGTTCCCGTGAACGGTTTACGATGCTTGAGTGACGATAAAACAACTTAATCTCTGTTCACACTCTAATTATTTTTAGTAAATAAAATTAACATATTCAGAAACTACATTAAAATCGCTACAAAGCCTGGTAAAAAAATGAAAATTTGATAAAAATTTGATTTATAAAGTAAAAGATTAAAAATGATTTAAGTTGACCATGAGAATAGTGGACGAGAACCTTCTAATGGGACGAAGGGAGTAGAATAAATCTACTCAGATTTACTCCCTCCGTCCCTCTATAATTGTCTCATTTTTCCATTTTTGAATGTCCCTTTATTATTGTCTCATACCATATTTTGTACTACCTCTGTCCCATTAGAAGGTTCCCGTCCACTATTCTCATGGTCAACTTAAACCATTTTTAATTCTTTACTTTATAAATCAAATTTTTATCAAATTTACATTTTTTTTATCAGGCTTTGTAGCAGTTTTAATGTAGTTTCTGAATATGTTAGTTTTATTTACTAAAAATAATCAGAGTGTGAGCAGAGATTAAGTTGCTTTATCGTCAGTCAAGCATCGTAAACCGTTCACGGGAACCTTCTAGCGAGACGGAGGGAGTAACATTTATATGGTTCTAATTCATTCTTACTTCTTTACCGATATTAGCTGAGGGAGGGAGTATGTGACAAGCTTAAAAAATGGACCCCACAAAAAAATGGAGGAAGTATACGACATTTTCCCCTAGAATAAATCTACTAAGATTTCATGGAGTGTAGAACTGAACAGAACTTTTTATGATTTATATTTTGTTTCGGGTAAAAAAGGAACGGCAAAAACTGAACCACTCCTAACTCGAACAAACCGAGGAACAGCGGAGCCTCGTCCTCGACGGCCCGAAGCAGCTATCCTTGGCCGCCTGCCGCTCTTCCCCTTGTCAGTGATCATTCATCTGGTGCGCTGCATTGGCTTCACACCGCCTGCGCCGCCAGTGGCCAGTCATCTGTGGACCTGCGTGCTGCGGTTCTGTCCCTTCGGCCCTTCAAGTGTGTCTCTAACTCGTTTATTTATTACGAGTAGTTCATATTTCACAGTTCTTGATAAATGACTAGTTGATTTGTTGTATTGTTGATTAGGTATTTAGTTCACTCATATTGTCGATTGTTGATTAGTTATTTAGTTCATTCATATTGTCGATTGTTGAATGTTGATTTGTTCTGCCACTCATAAATTCCTTACATACAATGGGAGAGAAAGAGAACTTATTATGTTACCTTACACAGAAAAAATGTACATAACATAGATTCAATTAATACATAGTAAATTTATAAGATGGGGTATTTGACAATCATAAGATGATGATAACATGAAGTTATGATCTCATCTCAAATCTCAAAACATTACATAACTGGGAAGATATGTGGACAATACCCATTTTTTCAGTTCAACTAGTAATACAACAGTACCATAGCATGGAATATGCATTAGTGCTACCACCAAATACCTGCCACCCAAAAAAATGAAATCAACTAATCAATTATATAGATATATCCTACAGCCAATACTGATATACAGAGTATTCTATAATGCAACCAGGAAAAAATTACACAACAGATTAATAAACTTTAGCAGAAGCTCACAGCCTCACATGTGTTGTTAGACTTACAAATACAATTGGCAAGAACATATAATATTCTTGGTTAAATGATATTTTTTTTATTGATGTCATACTCCCCAATACTGAGGACTAAATCAACCCTTGGTATTGTTTTTTTTAAAGTGGGGGAACAATTTGGGAGACAAATATGAAAAGAAATAGTCATGCATGTGGATGTTCAATTATTGATAATTTACATTTTTATCAACCCTAAAGGCAATTTCATCTTGTTGCATGCTTTCTTTTTTTAATCCATGTCCGAAAAATATTATTGGAAGTTTAACAATGTCACCGCCACTAAAATGTACGTAGTATCTGTTAATTGGAGTAACTTGGGGTCTTGTATGCTACTTTCATTTTTATATTTGTTCAAAGTATAACACATCCCTCAACATGTCCCCTCAGCAGGATGAGTCATTAGAGGAGATCAAACTTGAGATTTGTATGTTTTAAGTCTTGTAGTATCAAGTTTCTCATTTAATAGATTGATAGATTTTAATATCATATTAGAAATGATGACTCCATTATATCATATGGGTTCCTTTCTAAGATAAAAAGAACATAGAACACTAAATCTAACTGATATCAAAGCCCTTAAGCTATTTATTTTCAATTCATGTTAAACCTTATATGGTCTAGGTTAAGCGCATCCAAAGCTCTGTCACCCTCAAACACGTAATGCTATCCAGATAGTAGCAATGACATACATCATGCCATGATTGATGTGGATAAGCAGAAGTCTTCATCTAAATATATAAATTTCGAGGATACCCACAATTAAATGTCGTTCATGTAAAGAATGTTTATGAGGTAATTAGATATGTTAAATATGAGATGTTTTCCTTCACAGAAAATCAAAGATAAGTTGCAAGTGAGATCATTAATGGTGATTTTGGTGGAAATGCATACTTATTTTAGAATTCTCAACTTAATGATAAAATTTTGTTATTTGTCTACTTTCCCCTCTTTTGGTCTTTTCCCCCTTTTTTAACATTTCCGGGTCACTTTTCCAGATTTCATCAAATAGTTTCTCAGCCAAATTTCATCACATGTTCTCTCCTCTACACAGCAGTTTCCCTACTTAACGATCATCTCTCGTTGCCAAACTCTCGCTAGTCAGACCCTCATCAGCTATAGTTCTCTACTTAATGCAGCCTCACCAAGACCCGTCATTTTAAGACATCAATCTTTCTTGAGTTTTTGAAATTCTTTGAATAAGTTTCAGTTTCTTTGCTAAAGATCGATGTCTAAAAAGGAGTTCTTGGTGGGAGATTGGGTCTACGTCAAATTGCAACCCTATAGGCATGATAGGAACCTATTAGTATAATAATAATAATAATAAAATAATGTTACATAGTTTCTATTATGTTAAAGGGGGTCTAGGCCTGGTATTAATTTTGTTATGGGCCGGCCCGTAAACAAAGTATTATAAATAGTAGCTGGGAATAGAATAAAGGGAGGGAGATTTTAGAAGTGGGAAATTGGGATCTGGGAGAGTTGAGGCCTCTCGAAGTGCCCTGTCTATACCTTCTTATTCTTTTCTGCAATTCTGTTCAATAATAGTGATTGTTTCACTGTTACGAAATCAGCTTTCCTATCAATGGTATCAGAGCAGTTGATCTTGGGGATCGGAAATTGAATCTCGATTGCAACCTAGTTTGCGTTACAGAGGTGGATGGTCAGAACGAGATAAAAAAAAATGGAAAACAGTGTTCATACGTCGGAACGGGAGAGGACGGAAATGGAAAACATCACAGCTTCTCTGACAGCGATGAACGAACAGATTCAGAGCCACTTCGCGACTTATATGGCCGTATTGAATGAACAGATTCAGAGATTTTCTTCTTCACAATCGAAATTTTCTTCTTCGCGATCTTCATCTCAAAGTTCGAAATCGCGAACTTCTTCGCAATTGCAGTCTACCAGTTCGCAGGTCTCAGTTCTCAGGGCTCAAGGCGCGACTTCTCTCAATTCGCAGTTCTCATCACAGGTTTTGTCGCAAAACACTTCTCACTGTGCGCAGGTTTCATCAGTCCCACAGGAGTTTGTTAGTGGACGGCAATCTTACTCTACAGATAGGAGTGTGTCGCGATCCAGAGAAAATGGAGAGAAGTTCACTGAGGGCAACAATGAAAGCCAGAAGAAATCGCCAGCAGAGTCTCCCACTTCACAAGCTTCACAGCTCAGTTTGAAAGTCATTAATCTGCAGCAACCTTCCTCCGACGCTAAGAGTGCTTCGCAATTTGGAGAAAATGCAATGAGTGCTTCGCAAATTGAAGAAAATGCAAAGAAGTTCACTGAAGGCGACAATGAAAACGAGGAGAAGTTGTCAGTGGTCGCTGGACCTGAAATTGGCCCAACTGCAATTCATGTTTCTCTTGGATGCCCAGCTTCTGATGCTTCTAAAGGTTCTATGGAATTCTCCAACAAGGTTTTTGGTAGAGTTCTCCCTGTCACTTCTCAAAATGTTAATAATTCTAATGCTTCACAAGGACCTGGTCAAAATCTTCACCACATTATTGAGAATAGGCTACAGCCAAACACAGAGGGTGCAGGAGTGCAAAATATGAGGCTGTTTGGAGGTATTATTACAGTACCAATTGTTTGTGATATGAAAAGCAATGAACTCTGTTCCTTTTTCATACTGACAAACCCCAGAGAGTTGCAATTTTATGAGAACATTTGCTGCTCTACCAAGAAACCTGAGCAAGAGAACAATCATTATGTTCTCCAGAGTTACAGCATACCTCTTTCTGAAGAGAATCTGGTGAAACCGGGTTGTGGACAGCTTTGTTCAAAAGGGGTGATGAAGGGTCAAGTAATGAAGATCATGGTCCAGAAATTCGAGATGTATTGGGAAGGAAGAGGTGCCAGGATGAAGATGAAGTCGGAAGTTAAGGCTGTTTCCTATCACCCACCTTGAGGACAAGGTGGTTGTCTAAGGGGGGAGATATGATAGGAACCTATTAGTATAATAATAATAATAAAATAATGTTACATAGTTTCTATTATGTTAAAGGGGGTCTAGGCCTGGTATTAATTTTGTTATGGGCCGGCCCGTAAACAAAGTATTATAAATAGTAGCTGGGAATAGAATAAAGGGAGGGAGATTTTAGAAGTGGGAAATTGGGATCTGGGAGAGTTGAGGCCTCTCGAAGTGCCCTGTCTATACCTTCTTATTCTTTTCTGCAATTCTGTTCAATAATAGTGATTGTTTCACTGTTACGAAATCAGCTTTCCTATCAAGGCAACACTCTGTTTTTTATAGGAGGCATCAAAAGTTGGCCCCTAAATTCTTTGGACCTTTTGTAATTGAAAAGAGAGTGGACAAAGTGGCAGGGGCGGATCTACTCACATATGAGGGGGGGGGGCAGCTGCCCCCAATAAGATCCCACTAACCCTTTGTAAGTTTTTAATTAAAATTAAAGGTCCAAGTAATTGCCCCCAATAAAAAGAAGTAGTTGCCCCCAATAAACAAAATGAATTGCTCCCAATAAAAAGAAGTAGTTGCCCCTTTGCTAGTTTAGTACTCCGTATAGTTGTTTTATGACTTTATATATTGTTTACTTTCCGTATTTAATATAAAGGGAAAATGGGCAAATAAGTCCACGTCCTAACAAAAAAAGGTCAAATAAGTCCTTATTTAGGAGGCTCTGTCTGGTTGTCCTCATTTGGGGCGGTTCCCAAAGGAATTATCTGATGAAATTTTTTTAGCATCTTATTCATTCAGTCTAGTTTATGCATACCAAATTTCAGCTAAAACTTCCATCGCGAAGACATTCACATGAATTCTTGAAGATAATTGTGCAGTTAAAAACGCAGTTATCTTCAAGAATTCATTTGAATGTCTTCTCGATTGAATTGTTAGATAAAATTTGGTATGAGAAAACTAGACTCAATGAATAAGATGCTCAAAAAATTTCATCAAAAAATTCCACCGGAAACCGTCCCAAATCTTGACGGTCAGACAGAGCCTTCTAAATAAGGACTTATTTGACCTTTTTTTATTAGTACGTGAGCTTATTTGTCCCTTTTCCCTAATATAAATATTAAGGATGTTTTTACTTGAACTACAATTTACTGGTCTAGTCTGTTTAAGTATGATCTGGTCTGGTAAATTTCTGGTCTTTGTTTATTTTATAACTACGCAAGTTAAGTCTGGTATGATATATTTAAGTCCAGTCTGGTCTGTTTAAGTCTGGTCTGGTCTATTTAGTCAGGTCTGATCTGGTCTGGGATTGAAAACAATCCAAGTAAAAACTTCCTAAATAGTATTACTAAACTGATAATAATGTTAAAAATTTATTATAGGGTTATTTATTTAAATGAATCGGATTTAATATTTTAGAAAGATCATTCATTTCATTTTCATTTACCCCAGTGCCGCAAAGGCTCCCACCTACGGTGGGGTAAGGGGGGGTCGGATGTACGCAGTCTTACCCCTATACTAAAGCACAGAGAGACTGTTTCCGGATGACCCATAGTGAAAATCGCGTCCAAAATTGCATGGACTGACTGCTGCTTCATTACAAAGAAGCGCAGACAGTTTACTGAGCCATTTTGCTTTATTCCATTATAATCTCAAGCCAAAAAATAATGAATCTTTGGCTCCATTGCGAAAGATCAATTAGATTAAATTCAATTGGTGTGTTTCTGAAATAGTTACCCATCTATTAATGTAATGTTTTACACTTAGAAATTATAAATTACAAAATGGCATTTAATATGTTAGAAACACTAAATATAAATAATATGTTACTTTAGGTAGTTAAATAAAATGTATTAATGTATTACAAAAGTTAATTGTGATGTATTTTGTTAAAACTTTTATTGAAATTTGAAACTGT